TGATTAATTTCTTAATAACACATATCCTGGTTTGGGGATGTCCTGGCTATTTGTTTATTTTTAATATTTCTTTATTTGTTCATTTTATTTATTTGGCTGAGCCAGGGCTTAGCTGTGGCCCGAGGGACCTTCCTTGCATCATTCATAATCTTTCTTTGCTAGGGATTAGCTCCAGAGCACGTGGGCACAGTAGTTGTGGCTTGCAGACTTAGTTGCTCTCAGGCATGTGGAATTTTAGTTCCTTGATCAGGGATTGAACTCACGTCCCCTGCCTTGGAATTGCAGTCTTAACCACTGGACCACCCAGGAAGTCCCACAAAGATGAGTTTTAATGAAACTTTGTGGGTTAAGGGTCTTGTCAGTTGCATCTTTCACTGGTTAAAAATTTGGATGAGGGAATTCCCGGGGACTCTTCACTCGCACTGCAGGGAGCACAGGTTCAATTCCTGGTTGGGGAACTAAGATCCTGTATGCTGCACAGCACAACCAAAAATGCATTTTTTTAAAATCATTTGCCTGGAGTTTCTATATTCTCTTCCATTTCTGCTTTAAAAGTGGCCAATTTTTTTCTCAGTCATCTTTCTTACAGTAACTTGTCAGATGCACCCAACAGCAACCAGAGCATGCTACTAATATTCTCTTCCCCCAATTTTTTCCCTAAATCTCTAAACTCAGTTGGACATTATTTGTACTCTTAGTTCTATTTCCAGATTACAGTTTAAACAAATGCTTCATGTTTACATAACACACATCACCATCTTTCCAACTTCCAATGCTAGTTTCCTCATCAGCCACTGTCCGGATCCAAAGTTAATGACACACAACTCAGGTTTTTCTTTTTATTGTAGCAACACCTCACTTCTGGGTACTAGTTCTGTAACAGCTGGACTAGACTTATGATAATGTGGTAAAAACCAACCTCCAAATATCAGTGGCTCCCAGCAGAAGTTTCTCATTTACATTACACCTCACTTTACAGGTGGGCTACAGCTCAGTTTGATGTCCTGTTAATTAATGCTGGGTTCTAGGCTGAAGGAGTCTTCATCTGGCAATTGACAGGTTCGTGGCAGAAGAAAAAGAGATGGGAAGCTGCCAGACTACTCATTGGTGCTTAAAGCTTCTACTTGGAAGTGGTGTCTTAATATCTACTCAGATTCCAAAGCATGTTATATAGCCAAGCCTATTGTAAGTGAGCATGAATATATAATCCTCCTAACATGAGGGGCCCAATAGGAAGAACAGCATATATTTGGAACAATAATATAATCTACCACAGGGCTGTACCAGAAACGTCAATCACTGAGTTTGTCCATTCTTCCTTCATACACATTGTGCTGATGCATTTTGTACCTTGTAACATCTCTCATACATCTTGTGTATGCGCTAAGTCACTTCAGTTGTGTTCAACTCTTTGTGACCCCATGGACTGTAGCCCACCAGGTTCCTCTGTCCCTGGGATTCTCCTGGCATACACCTTGGTCAAAGGTAAAATCTTGACTCAAGGTAGACAATTCCCAAGTAAGTCAATGTAGCCTGACCTAAACCAATCAGGTCCCTTTTCTTAAAAATCTGAACCATGACATATTCAGTGGCTGAGGAATAAGTGGAGAAGGCTGCAGCTGAAAGGTTGTGATACAAGATGGATTTGGAAAAGCCACAACTCACGCAGACTGTGTTCCTTAAAAGTTGGGCTGACAGCACCCAAGCCAGGATTTCAGTGAAAAAACCTTCCCACGGCCCCTCACTTAGGTTGGTTTCCCTCACAGAAGGGGTATACACAAAGGAACTTGTAAAATCTCCAGTGCCTGGGTCCACTTGCCTACTAGGTCTGCTCCAAACCTGCCACTCACCTGTTCAGAAACCTTCCATGGGTCCCCACAGCCCACCGGAAAAGTTCAAATTACTGAACCCGCCATCCGAGCCCTTGCTTGGCCGTCAAGCCAACTCTTCTGGGAAGTTCTAGATGGTGTCCTGAGACAAGTAAGCAGCCTTTCGGGGGTGGCGCTGTCCAGCACTGCCAAGCAGAAGGCACATGCTCTACGTGGACACCCAGCTGCGTAGACGTGGCAATCTCCGCGTCGGTTTGACAGTCTCTGTCAGATCCCGGTAGGTGCCATGGGTTGTCAACTTCAGTTGATTCTGAAGGCAGAAAAGTGAGAGAGTGGATAAAGGCGACCAACAGGACAGGATTCCGCTGAAGAAGCAGGCCGTAGGGGAAGAGACGGAGAGTGGAGAATCAGGGAAGCCCAGAGTCCAAATCAGTCTTCCACTGGGGCAGGATCCTTCCGGTCTCGGTTTCCCCATTGGGTGGACATCCAGAGTGTTTGCAGGCTGCTAAAAACGAGGGGCTTCCTCCTGCAGGCGTCTAGTTTCTTCTGTACACGGGACACAGGACCTCAAGCAGGACTAAAGTGTGGGTACACTCCCGGACTCTCTAGAACCCGCAATTTCCGGCTGCTAAGGGGGCGGGACCCGGCCACGCCTTCTCGCATGAGGTCCCCAGCCCCTACCCTCACGGGTCTCTCCCAGGCCAGCCCCCTTCCGCCTTATTAGGCTTTTGATCACGCCCCTTGCGCTCTGTGATCCAATCGCTTTTCGGTGCGACTGCGGTCTCGCTCTGAGGCCCCGCCCACATCTAATTGCAGTTTAATTCCGGATGCTCACTCCTTCAGGAGGCCCTGCGAACCAATCCTGATGCTCTTCAGGAACAACATTTAGGTCCGCTGGCCAATCCGAGCGGTCCGTTTTCTAAGTGTCTGCCCAGCCACCCCCCCCGCCCCCAGCCACGCCCCGTACGTTCGGTGCCAAGTGTAACCCTCGGACCTGGCGCAGGCCCCGCGCAACCGCCGCTTCCGGGCCACCGGGAGGCGCTGCAGGCGGTCGCCCAGCCTCGGGTGGAGGCGAGGCAGGTCCGGTTGCACGTCACTGCGGCCCAATCCCGCCCCCTGGTCCCACCCAGCCCGGGTCCAGGGGCGGGGTGAGAGTCTGCACCAACTTCCACTGGCCCATCCCTTCCTTGGCTCGCGTCGCCCCGGCGCCCACGTGTGTACCCCATACTTGGCGGCCGAAGCAAGCGGTACATCTTGGCAGCCAGGAGCAGCGGCGGCGACCAGTGGGATCGAAGGTGGGATGGGACGAGGCGGCTGGAGCCCCGCCCCCAGACCTTGGTCAGGGGTCAGGCCCTGCCCCATTCCTACCAGGCTTCGGAGGCAGGAGCCCTGAAACCAAGTGTCTGGGGACAGGCGCTAAATCCAGCTCCAGAAACCAGGCAGGGCGCTTGGAACTCTTAGAAATTTCGAGCTGGAGCCTGGAACTCAGGTGAGTCATAGAAACTCAGCTCCTCGGCCTATTCTACCCGCTTCAGCCACAAGACCCCTGAGAAACAAGGTGTGGGCTGATTCAGAGTGCCTCCCTCTCTAATCTGAACTCTTATATAAAAGGCAATGCCACGCCAAGTGGGGAGAGGGAGCGGGTGACTGGGAGATTGGCATTGACAAATATACACTATTGCTCTGAGTTTTTGTTCAGTTGCTCAGTCCTGTCTAACTCTTTGCACCCCATGGACTGCAGCGCGCCAGGCTTCCCTGTCACTATTGTTACACTATTGTTACTATGTATAAAATAACTAAGAGAACCTACTGCATAACTCAGGAAGCCCTATTCTTTGCTCTGTGGTGACTTTAAATGGGAAGGAAATCCAAAACAGAGGGGATAAATGTATACATACAGCTGATTCACTTTGCTGTACAGTAGAACATTGTAAAGCAACTATACTCCAATAAAAATTAATTAAAAAAAATAAATAAATAGGGACTTCCCTTGGACCAGTGGTTAAGAATCCGCCTGCCAATGCAGGAAACGTGGGTTTGATCCCTGGTCTAGGAAGACCCCACATGCCTTGGGGCAACTAAGCCCCCGCAGCCTGGAGCCTGTGCTCCACAACAAGAGAAGCCCCAGATAGGAGAAGCCTGTCCACCAAAACTAGAGAGTAGCCCCGGCTCACTGCAACTAGAGAAAACCTGAGTGCAGCAACAAAGACCCAGCACAGTCAAAAATAAGTAAATAAAATAAATAAATAAATAAAAAGAAAAGAAAAGGCAATGCTTTTTTTTTCTGAGCACAAGGCCTGGCCTGTTGAACCCTCTGCCTGGCAGTCTCTTCACTGATTCTTCCCATAACCAGCCATTGGACTCCTCGCTTCCCATTGGACTCAAATATAGCCATCTCTGAGACAGGCCCTTCCTTGTCCACTGTATCCAAAGTAACAGACTCAGTTCCTTTTTCACAGTGCCTCTTCTTCTTGGCCTCAGGAATGCCCATAGATGCCACACACGCATCCCTGTTTCCCAGCCTGGCCTGGCTCAGCCTCACTGCTTTGGGCTTATAGGTCCTCACAATGCTCTTTCCCCAGGGACAGTACTGAGCCACATGTGGGTGTCACCTCCTCCAGGCCCCACCCATTCTCATGGGAGAGGAGAAGGGCGCTGCCAGCCTGGTGTGGTCACCTGAGACAGTCTGATTTGAGTCTGCCTGGGCTGGGTCTGTCCCCCAGGGTGGCCGGGAGGTAGGGAGGCTGGATACCTGAAGGCCCTGGACCAGACTTTTCAAGGACACACGTGCACAGGGGAATCTCCAAGCTTTTTTTTTTTTTTTTAATTTCTTACAAAACCACATGTCCCTGCCAAACAGGACACTGCAGGCCTGCCCCCAAGCACTGTGACCCAGTGGGGGAGGCCCCCACGGATGAGTGGCTGCCGACCCCAGAAGAACTGTCTGCCCCTCTGCACAAGGCCACTGTGAGGAAAGAGTCTGGCTGGAGGCTCTGTCCTGCCCACCCTCAGCTGCTGGGGGAGAAGGCAGCCCCTGGGTCCCCGGTGCTCTTAGTGTCTGCAAGGGAAGGCGGGAGAAGAGGGTCTGAGGGGAGGAGAAGAGGCTGGGGTCGGGGGTGGGGCAGGCCAGGGGGCAGGCCCACGGCATCTCACCAGGAATACGCAGCGCTGTCAAACCAACGTGGAGATGACAATGATGACCACCAGAATGAGGACAATGATGGACACACAGATGGCAATAAAGACTTTCTTCTGTGGGAGAGGAAGCGGGGTGGCGGGGGTGGGTGTCAGGGAAACTCAGGAGTGGAGGGAGGGCTACCCAGGGGGGAGGGGTGGCAGGGGGGAAGGGCGGAGGCTCACCTTGCGCGCCTTCTTCTGGTTCTCCAGGGCCACCTTGACATGTTCCTGCCCACGTTCCACATAGTCGGCTGAGCTCAGAATGTTCTTCTCAATTCGGTTGATCATCTCCCCCTGCTCGGAAGAGGAGGCGGTTCAAGCAGGAAGGAATGACTGGGGGCGGAAGGCCCAGCAGTTCCTCTGCCCACCCCAACCACAGAGGACTGAAGGACACTCCTGGCAGAAAACGGTGCACTAAGAGGTGGGGACAGGACCGCATCCGACAGAAGTCCCCACGCCTGGGGATGGCTTCCAGGCTCCCTCCTACCGTATGCTCCCTTCTGTCCTGCGCCCTCGCCCCATACAATTTCTACTCGCAGTGCCAGCTGGGAACCGAGCACCTTGAATGGCTCATATGTTTTCACAGAGGGTGAACTTTTGTCCCCTCGCAAATCTGTCTGAAGTCCCTTGTTCTTCAGGCCTGTCTCTGAGCTGCTGGGAAACCCTCCCTGTCACTGCCTCCTCACGGTACCACCAGCCTTCAGATCCTGAACTCCTACCAAGTGAAATCTCTCCCCCAGGACTCCCAGCTGCAAAAGGGCATTGGAGTCAGCTCCTCCCAGATGGGGCTGGAAGCTCCCCTTATCATGAGATAAGGGCCGGGGGAAGAATACCACCTCCTACCCCATCCTCGTCTACATTTTAGGAGGCAGGCCCCTCTAGGGGGCAACTGAAGAGCTCTTAGGTGTATAAGAATGGATTCTGCTGCTGGAGGAGGAGCCAGGGTGGGGGCCACACCTGGTGTGGGCTCCGGTTCAAGGGGTGGGGTACAAGGCACAGAGCAGTAGTCATCTGAGTAGCTACTGAGGAGGATGAAATCTGGGGACACAGCTAAGGATGGAACTAAGGGCCAGTCTGGAGGGTAACAAAAGCCTCGGTGCAAGAGGCTAAGGGTGGAGGCAGGCTGACTGTCATGACACGCCCTCACATCTGGGGGTTGGATCAAGCCCAGCCAGCGGCTTCGGGCACCCACCTGTATCTCTACTTCAGTGGCCAAAAAAGTGAAAATCTCATGAAGTTCACGGATACTTCGCTCCAGCTGCTGGATCTCGCTGTGCCGGGCCGAGATCTCATTTAGGGCCTGTCGAGTCACTTGTGTGTCCTTCAGTATCTGCAGAGTGGACAGGAGCGATGGGACAGGTCACAAAGAAATCAGCAGCACGTTTAGAAGTTCCTGTTCAGCTTCGGGGCAGCTCTCGGGCCTAGAACTGGGGCCCAGGCCCTAATGAGGGATGCCAGGCAGGCTAATATGTTCCCTTCTGGGCCTCAGGATTCCCTCCATGAAAAAGGGCCAGGAGGGCTTCCCTGGTGGCTCAGTGGTAAAGAATCCGCCTGCTAATGCATGAGACACCAGTTCGATCCCTGATCGGAGAAGATCCCACCTGCTGAGAAGCAACTAGGCCCATGCACCACAACTACTACGCCTGTGCTCTAGAGCCCCAGAACCACAACTGTCTGAGCCCACGGGCTGTAGCGCCCGTGCTCCACAACAAGAGAAGCCACTGCAAGGAGAAGTCCACACACCGCAACTGGAGAATAGCCCCTGCTCACTGCAGCTAGAGAAAAGCCCCCAGAGCAACGAGGACCCAGCACAGCCAAAAATAAATAAATAATTCTTTTTTAAAAAGGGGTTAGGACTCAGAGAGAACGGGGGGCCCAGCAGAGGGAGGCTGGCGGCGGCCACTCACATTGGACACAAACACCTCGCTCTGCCCGCTGTCCAGCATCTGCTCCAGCTCCTCGTCAGACACCATTCCAGCATTTGCTGTGAAGGAAAAGGCCAGGCTCAGAGCCGGTTGGGTCAGCTGACCCTGTGTGCCGGGCACCACAACTCACTGATCTTCAGCTGCCTCCGAATCCGCTCCACGTTCTTCTCCCGGTATTCAGACTGCATTGAGTTGCACTTGTTGATGAGTTCCACGAATTGCTGGGACAGGATCCCGTGCTAAGGAGGGAGAAGAGAAGCTGGGGACCCCTGGGAGGATCCCTGCCTGGTCTGGGCCTCAGTATCCCCTTGGGTACAGTGAGCAAAGAGCATGAGCTCAGAGGTGCCTGTGGCCTTGACCTCCTTGAAAGGCTCCCCTGGTCTCTCAAAATAAAAGCCAAAGCCCTAAAAAAAAAAAAAAAAGTCAAAGCCCTTCCCAGGGCCTACAAGGCCCTACAGGACCCGCCCCTTCCCATATTCCCTCTTTCATCTTACCTCCCCACACTGTTTGCCTCACTCCTTCCCTCCAACCACAGTGGGCTCCTGACTCCTCCCTGATCAGTACACAGCCCCACCTCAGGCCTCTGCAGTTGCCATTTCTTCAGCCCAGAATGTTCAGGCCCCACAGAAGCCTAGAAGTCTTTGTTCCAGTGTCACCTTCAGAAGTTTTCTCCACCTTGTTGGAACCTGCCTTCTCTCACTGTTCTCAATCTCTCTTCTCTTTTCCCTTCATACTTCTATGTTCTACAATAACTGAGTGATTTATTATGGTGACTGTCTCTCCCTACTGGAATAAAATCTGCATGAGGATAGAGATCATTTGTTGACAGCTGTTTCCTAAACAGCTAGAAAAGGGTCTGGCATACAGTAGGCCCTCGAAGAATATTAGTGGAATGCTTGCTGAACACCAGCGTCCCTGCTTAGACTAAAGGTGTGCCAGGATACCTGGAGGTCAGCTGATTGCCCAGATTTTGCAGGCCCACCTGGGCACTCAGCCTCTCACACAATGACTACCACAAGCCCCCCACCTCCTACCCCCAGAAATGCCTTCCCTGCTTGTCCATTTTCCTGATGTCTAAAATCTGCTCATTCCTTGGAATTCCTTTCTCTAAGACACATCTGCTGTCCTGGGTTCAGCTGCACCCTTTCAAGATGCCCAAATTGCAGGAGGTGCAGTTCTTAAGGCCCTAGCCTACTGTGTTCCCCCTTTGTTTGGAAAAGTAATAAAGCTACTCTTTCCTTCTCTTCCATTAAAAAAAAAAAAAAAGCCCAAATTGTTCAATCTTCAATCTGGGGTCTTTGCTGAGTTCTGGGCCCACCTACTCCAACTCTGATCTCCAAGAACACCAAACCATGCCTCTCTGGGCACCCAGAGGACACTGCTCAGACCATCTCAAATCTCCTTATTAAGATGATGATTCTGAAATAGAACTGCCATATTACCTAGCAATCCCACTTCTGGGCATACACACCGAGGAAACCAGGTCTGAAAGAGACACATGCACCCCAATGTTCATCGCAGCACTGTTTATAACAGCCAGGACATGGAAGCAACCTAGATGCCCATCAGCAGACAAATGGGTAATGAAGCTGTGGTACATATACACTATGGAATATTACTCAGCCATTAAAAAGAATTCATTTGAATCAGTTCTAATGAGATGGATGAAATTGGAGCCCATTATACAGAGTGAATTAAGCCAGAAAGATAAAGACCAATACAGTATACTAATGCATATATATGCAATTTAGAAAGATGATAGCGATAACCCTATATGCAAAACAGAAAAAGAGACACAGAAGTACAGAACAGACTTTTGGACTCTGTGGGAAAAGGCGAGGGTGGGATGTTTTGAGAGAACAGCATCGAAACATGTATATTATCAAGGGTGAAACAGATCACCAGCCCAGGTTGGATGCATGAGACAAGTGCTCAGGGCTGGTGCACTGGGAAGACCCAGAGGGATGGGGTGGGGAGGGAGGTGGGAGCGGGGATTGGGAAGGGGAACACATGTAAATCCATGGCTGATTCATGTCAATGTATGGCAAAAACCACTACAATATTGTAAAGGAGTTAGCCTCCAACTAATAAAAATAAATGGGGAAAAAAAAAAAAAGATGATGATTCAGTGACCTTCCCTCCCCCGGCTCCTCCTGACCCACCAGGGAAGTTCCTCTTCCTGACTTCTTGAATTCTGTCCCTAGGGCAGAGCATGTCCCATCACATGGGTAGGGAACCACCCGGTCACTTGACTGCACCCTCTTCTTCCCGGGCAGAGCCATGAACTACCGAATCCTACCTGAGTAATGTCTTTGTCATCTATGCAAGCTTAACTCCCCATCTTGGCTTCTAGAGAGTATATCTCCTACAGCCGAGCCCAGATCATGTCTGGGGTCTCAGCAACTTCTCACTGAATGGAGGAGAAGAAGGCAAGGTGTTATAATGGAAGTCAGGAGACCTGGGTTCTTCACCTTGGGGTGAATCCTTTTTTATCTCTGAGCCTCAGTTTCCTCATTTGGAAAATCATCAGGTTGGATTTAATGACCTCCAAGAGCCCTGCCTTCTTACATCTGCCATCTAATGATCTATTGAACACTTGCTAAAATGTCCTACTTCTGGGAATAATGAACCCACCTGGGTTTTTCTCATTCTTGTGTTGACGGAGTTATAATTCTCATCAGCTTCCTCCTTCTGGGGCTCTATGGCTGTGGAAAGACACAAGAGTATTGGTAGAGGAGGGGGTTTGACCTCTGGCTTCTGAAATTCATTTGAGGACTGGGACCCAGCCACCCCGGCATACAATAGAGAGAGATAAAATATCTCCACAGGGCTTTTTTTTTTTTGGAAATAAAATTCATCATAAAATGACTACTTCTGAGCCTCTGACAGCCAAAAGTATATTTTTCTTTGCAATAAATACACCAGAGAATTCCCACATGTTTGGAGAAGGTTTCTAACAAAACCCACATCTTCCCGCCCAAAGAATACACACTGGGCAGCAAGAATTGTAAGAGTACAGATGATCCTTGCACAACTGTGTGGGTCCATTTATACCTGAATTTTCAGAAAATAAATGCATACTACAGTACTACACAATCCACAGTTGCATGAATCCACCCATGCAGAACCTGGGATATGGAAGGCAGACTATACAGTTATATGTAGATAATGACCTTCAGGTGGGGGTGGCAACACTAACCTCTGCCTTGGACAAAGGTCAACTGGAAATGGTTTCATTATAAATAAGGGAACTTGAGAGGCAGGCATATGCTGTGGAAAGAACTTTGAACTGGAAGCCAGGAGATGGAGATTCTAGACGTTGGTCTGCTGTGTGACCTGGATATATATCACTGGCCTCTCTGGACCACACACTCCCCAGATATACCAGGAGTTGGGCAGGATCAGAGGAAAGTATCTGGCTGATGTCCTAGGAGCTCACCCTTCAGCTGCGCGCGGATGTCCCTCCCTAGCTGTTTGATCTCGTCGCGCAGGTTCTGCAGGTCCTGCTTCATGCCTAAACAAGAGAAAGCCATGATGCCCAAATAGCAACCTCTACCTCAACAAATCTCCCTGGCCACCACCTGTGCAGAACTACAACCCCCACAAGCCCGCCGGTTGAGCATGCGTTTTGCACCCGGGGTTTCACTCACTCTCCTCGGGAAGGGGCGTGGCCAGGATGGTCACCTGCTGCTTCTCCAACTCTCGGACTTTATTCTCTAGCTTGACGATAGTCTGCCGAATTGTCCCAACCTGGGGAGTATGACCGAGAAGGCTGAGGGAGATATGGGGGGTGCTCCGAGCTGCTCTGCTTCTCGGGCCCTCCAGCCCCCTCGTGAATCCAGACCGAGACTCCAGCCTCTTACCTTCTGGAAGAACTCATCGTCCGGGCTCCCCAGCCGTGCAGTACCCGGGTGTACCACCAGCGCGACTCGCTCCTTGTCTTCATCGTCCGAACTGTCATCCCCCTGCCAGGGCCGGGGTCACTGGCATCACTTCCTTGCTACTGCTCTCCCCCAGTAGAACTCATAGGCTTCCGGGACTTTCCTTCCTAGCCCACAGTCATCCCTCCCGGCCCCGAGGACCAGGAGTCCTGCATTCCGGCAGACCCCATCCCGTCCACCCATCCCCAACCCTGCTGCGCCAAATTCTCACCTGCCTCAGCTCGTGGGTCCTGTCCCGCATGGCGGCCCGAGATCCCTCTCGCCGGCGCCGGAGCCCGGCGGGCCTCAAGATTCTAAGTTTGGAACTCCCGTACCAAACTCACACTCTGACACTCCCCTCCGCCCTCACCCTTAAGACCCCAAATCCCCCCCCCACCAAGAGTCGCTAGAGGCTCTGTCCCTGGCACCATTCACAGTTTCAAAGGGAAGGAGCCGACCTCGGGGACCCCCAAGATTCCACAGGTTGGAATTCCCTTTTCTTTCCCCCCCCCGCCCTCTCCTGTAGCCTCGGCCCCGCCCTCTCTGGAAAGACTGGAGCATGCGCACCGGATCGCGTCCCTTCCCCACCCCAGGGAAAGGCCGAGGTCGGAAGCCGCAGCGCCCCGAACGGAAGCGAAATTGCCAGGACGTGAGAACCCGCCCCCTTTGCCGGAACTATCGCATCTTCCAGCGGAAATCTTGTTGCCAAAAGGGGTGGGAATGCGTCATTGGTACGTGATATGAGAGGCCCCTCATTTCGCATCACCCCATAGTGCAAACCCCACCGCGCGCGTCACGTGACCTGCCTGGTCCCAGCCTCTCAGACCACAGAACGTGACGCTTCGACTGTCACGTGTCTCGGCCCTGTCAACTCCATCTCTGGAACACCTATCTCCCCACGACGTCCTCGGCACCCCGCGCCCGAGTTACCTCCCTTCAGAACCCCCGCGAGGCGGGGAGGGGGCGCTGACTATCCCCAGAGACAGTGGGTGGTAGGACCCAGGCTGAATCCGGCTTTCTTTCTTTTGGGTCCGCGAGTGTGGGCAGACTGACGACTTAGAATTTGGAGCTGTCAACATCATGAGACCTTGAAATTCAGAAAAGAATAAGATCCAGCGTCAGAGAATTGCAGGGTTTTGTAGGCAGAGCATCTGGGGGTGGGAAGTGACCTCACCCGAGGCGGAAATCTTCTCCCGCATACTCCTGGCACAGTTTCTGACAGGTGGGCGGCTGGCAGGCGCCCGGCTTGAACACTGCAGTCCCGCTGCACTCACCACCTTCGAGCAGGGCATTTCAGGGCAGCTCGCTGAGAAGAGTCTGTTACATTGAGCAGCATGTCACTTAGACAACCCCCTCCCCAGACCCCCACCTTGCACTGGGGTCCACCCTCTGGAGCCCACAAAAATATGCCATATTGTCGTGGCCTGTGAGTTGCTAAAGTGAGGGCATGACTGTGGACAGAGGAGCCTGGTGGGCTACAGTCCATGGGGTCACAAAGAGTCGGACACGACTGAGTGACTAACACACACAAACTGTAGCCCACCAGGCTCCTCCTCTGTCCATACAATTTTCCAGGCAAGAATACCAGATCGGGTTGCCATTTCCTCCTCCAGAGGATCTTCCCAACCCAGGGATCAAACCAAACATCTCTTGTGTCTCCTTCCTTGGCAGATTCTTTACCACTGAACCAACTGGGAAACCCAGCACATGTTAGGCCCTCAGTAGATATTTGTTGATAGAGTCTTGGCCTCTCATATAACTGAAGATGAAGCTTATGGTTCCCTGGTCTCTTTTATGCTTCAGGCTGTTGGTGACACTTCCCTAACCCTGACCCTGTAGACATTCATTCATTCAGTGAATTTTTATTGTATGGGCCAGACACTGTTTTAGGGCCATAGATAGGGCAGACAAGAATGCCTTGCCCTTTTGGAACCCACCTTCTATAGAAGGATGCCCCAAGGTCACTCAGTGAGTCTCAGAATAGCTGAGAAGAATATCAGTTCTCCTGAATCACAGGATGTCAACAGCCTGGGTGTCTCTGCCAGGGATTCCATGCTGCTATTACTCCTCCAGGGTCTTTCTTCCACTTTTCATCTCCTGAGCCCCACCATGCACCAGATCCTTGCCAACTCCTGCCCATCTCTCATGTCTTCACTGGGATCTGACATACCATGTATTTTGCTAATTTGTGTTATCTATTGTCTGCCTCCACCCCTCCTCTCCACCCTACTAGAATGTAAGCTCCAAGAGGACAGGGATTTTCACCTTAATTATTCACTGCCGTGTCTCCAGCACCTGCAACACTGCCTGGCACATAGTAGCTGGTTAATAAATACTTGTGAAGGAATGAATTTTTTTTTTTAACCACACCATGCAGCTTGAGGTATCTTAGTTCCTCAACCAGAGATGGAATCCAGATCCTTGGCAGTGAAGCGCAGAGTCCTGACCACTGGACCTCCAGGGAATTCCCAACTTCTTTTGCTTTTTTAAATTAATTTATTTGACTGCATCGGGTGTTAGTTGCAGCACTCGAGATCTTCGCTCTGTCATGGAGGATCTTTTGTTGTGGTGCATGGACTCTCTAGTCGTAGCATTTGGGCTTCTTGTCTGGTTGTTTGGAGGGCTCCAGAGTTTGCAGGCTTAGAAGTTGCCCAACACAGGCTTAGTTGCCCCCCAGCATGTGGGTTCTTAAGCCCCCAGTTAGGGTTTGAACCTGTTTCCCCTGCATGGCAGGTGGATTCTTAACTACTCGACGACCAGGGAAGTCTGCCCAATTTCTTCTTAATTGACATTTACTTAGCATTTACTGTGTGCCAGGCACTGATATACGTACTTAATAAAAATTTACTCATTTCATCCTTATGTACATTCTGTGAGATTGGTACTATATTACTGTCCTCATTTTACAGAGGAGGAGGCTAAGACACAGAGGCAGTAAGTAACTTGCCCAAAGTTACACACTAGCAAATATGAGAGCCAGGATTTGGAACCAGAGAGGAAGCTCCAGACTCCATGCTCTTAACCAGTACACCATGACCCAAGAAAAACACCAGCCAGGAGTGGCTCCCTGTGTCCTACTCACCCTTGGGGGACTTGCTGCCACCTATTAATGCTCTACTTTGGATCATCTGGTGACGAGGTGGGGGCCAACGGCAAAACAAGTCTCTTCCCTTCCCCCGTCATAGGGTCTCTCTTCCACATCTGTTAGGTGGGAACAGACTGCTGGGGAGGTTGTTGGTCCTCTTCTCATTCCCTGTTTGCTGTCTTCCCAAGAGCCAAGGGCTTTCCTGGTGGCTCAGATAGTAAAGAATCTGCCTGCAATGCAGGAGACCTGGGTTCGATCCCTGGGTTGGGAAGTTTCCCTGGAGAAGGATATGATTACCCAGTTCAGTGTTCTTGCTGGGAATATTCCATGGACAGAGGAGCCTGGCGGGCTACAGTCCATGGGGTTGCAAAAAGTTGGACACGACTGAAAGACTAAGTACACATACACACTGAGAACCAAAGATAACCATGCATGGGTCACATAAAGGGCTTCTGTGCACCCTCAAATGTCTCTGAGGCTGGTTTTGTGCTGAAACCCCAAGGGCTACAGAGATGAAGCCCCCACCATTCTCTCCTCATGATGTGTCCTGAGCCTGACCTTAATCATGCCCTAGAGTGCCACCTGGGAACCTCTTGTCTCTCATGGCTTTAATCGACATCCATATTTGGCTCCCAAATCCATATTTCCAGCCCCCAGTTTTCTCCGAAGCTCTAGAACTCTGAATCCATTTGCTTTCTGGACATCCCCTCCTGGAGTTCCATGAATGTCTTAAACTCACCATGTTCCAAACACCACACATCGTCTCCCCCGAGAATCTCCTAAATTAATTTCTTGTTCTTCCTATTTCCTTTCCGTGTGGATGACACCAGGTCACCTGTGCCATAACCTTGGCCTGGAACTTCATTCTGAAGGTGATGCATCACACAGCTGGTTTGGATAACCCCCATAAAAATGCTAGAAAAAAATGGACAAAATTCTTTATAACTCATAATGAGAAAGACCTTTCTAACTATGCTCAAAATTCAGAAACTACACTCAATTGTTTATAATAAACTATAAGGAAAGAGAATCTGGAAAAACAGACATATATATGTATAATTGAATCACTTTGTTGTACAGCTGAAACTAACACAGCATTGTAAATCAAACTTCAATTAAAAAATAAAAGCACATTAGAAAGTGAAGGTGAAAGTCTCTCAGTCGTGTCCAACTCTTTTCGACCCCATAGACTATACAGTCCATGGAATTCTCCAGGCTAGAATATTGGAGTCGGTAGCCTTTCCCTTCTTCAGGGGATCTTCCCAACCCAGGGATGGAACCCAGGTCTCCCACATTGCAGGCAGATTCTTTACCAGCTGAGCCACAATGGATATTAAAAAATCAGAAAATGTAAAATAGAATATTAATATATTTGTCTACATGAAAAAGTTTTCATGGCAAAAAAATGAAAGCACAATCAAAAGACAAATTGGGAAAATAATATTTGCAATTCTTATCATACACAAAGGGCTAATCTCCCTACTATTTAAAGAGCTCCATGTAGTGATAAGAAAGACCAACAGTTCAATAAAAAACAACGGCCAGAGAACAGGACAGATCACAAAAAAAGACAATAAAGACTTAAATAAGCAGATGTTCATTTTTGCATGTAAGAGAAGTGAAAATTAAGATAATATTGAGATATATTGCATTAGCAACATTTTTTTTTTCTTTTTTGGCCGGAATGCCAAAGTTTGTGGGATCCCAGTTCCCTAACCAGGAATGGAACCCATGCCCCCTGCAGAGGAAGCACAGTGTCTTAACCACTGGACCGCCAGGGAAGTCTAACAAAATTCCTGTTTGGCAACCCAGTCTTTTGGCAAAACTGTGGGGAAACAGGGACTTTCACTTGTTGATGGGGCCTGCAAAATGATACAACCTAGACCATATTTGTCAAAATTCTGACTGCATATACTGTTTCTTTTTTAAAATATTTGTTTATTTGGCTGTGGAGGGTCTTCATTGGGGCATGCAAAATCTTTTATTTGTGTCACGTGGGATGTAATTCTCTGACCAAGGATCAAACCTGGGCCCCCTGCACTGGAAGTGCAGAGTCTTAGCCACTGGACCACGAGGGAAGTCCCCATATACTGTTTCTGAATACTGAATGCATGTATTGTTTCTCCAGATTCTAAGGACAGCCAGGTGGTTTTTCTGCTGGTCTCATCTTATTCACG